TGCTCCAGGAACTGCGGAGAGGGAGGCAAGGGAGGTGCCCACAGTTCTTCCCTCCAGACAGAGCCCAGAGCTGAGCCCTGAGCCTCTTTGGGCCTCGGCTTCTTCTGGCATGGAGAAGGAGCACAGTTGTCTCTGCTTCCACAGCTAATTTCTACAAGGCGGCCTCAGTTCCAACACTGTCATCTCAGGAAGGATCATGTAGACATCAAATTGCCCCTGCAGACAACGTAGCATTCACAAGGGAGGTGGGGGTGATGCCCTGTCACAGTCCTCTCCCAATATGCCCTTATTTTCCTTATATTTAAGGTGGCTCCCAGGTCCCAGGCCAAACACAGCCCTCAACCTGTGCTTGCTGCCCTCTGGCACACAGGCCACCAGCATCTCTGCCAAGGGTGTCCCTCTACGAAGCCCATGGGCAGTGGGTGGTCCTCACAGGCAGCTTGCATTTGCAGTCAGCACTCTGCTTCTAGAAAGCACATCCTTATCCAGGTGAGTGTGGGGAGAAACAGGGTTTGGTACAGGTTTGGGGCTGGGGAGATCTGGGCTCCAATTCATATTAGAGGCTGTGTGGCCTTGAGCAAGGGCTGAGCCTTTCTGAGCCTCAGTTGTCAAATCTGTAGAATGAGGACAGTAACTCAACCTAGTGAGGGATAAAGCATGTAGCGTGCTGGACACCGAAGAATCACCTAATTAATTACCATCTGCCTGAAACAGCACCCACTCCCTCACTCCCGTGTCCCACTCCGTTGCTCCTCTGAGCACTTCCTGCAGATCCTAGAGTGTTGATTTGTTTTTTTTCTTGTCTCTCTCATTGAACTGGGAGAGCCCGGTGGGCAGACACTTGGACCTGTTCACCGCTGTCTCCTTGGCAGCTGGAGCAGTGCCTGGCTCAGAGTACACAAAAGGATGTATGGACAGCTGTGTGAATGAATGACAGGAAAATCATAGAAGCAGCTCCTTCGATAGGTGGAAACAGCAAAGGGCAAAGAGACTCAGAATAATGTGGGTCAACAAAGCAGATTATACATATAGGATATTCCCCTCTTTCTTCAACAGTCTGGAAGGGTGTACACCAAAATATTCCATTGCCATGCTTTTGCTTTTTGGTGACTGATTTTTCTGCTGAGTCTGTGTGTTACTTGTGTAATTAATTTTTTTTTTGTATTTTTTTTTAGTAGAGACAGGGTTTCACCATCTTGGCCAGGTTGGTATTGAACTCCTGAGCTCGTGATCCACCTGCCTCGGCCTCCCAAAGTTCTGGGATTGCA